TAATTTAAATTTTAAAAATAAGTAATGATTAAAAACTATATTCTTGTTGCAGTCTAATGAATGTGGGCGATAAAATGAATTATCAAAAACTTAAAAAAAAAAAATTAAACGGGATAGTAAACGCCCGCCTCGCCCCGTCTTAAACGGGTAAAGAGGCGGGGATTGCCTGGTGGGACGGCAGGGGAAGTTGCCCCGCCCGACCCCGTTGCCATCCGTAAAATCGTGTGTCAAAAGGACAATATACAAAATTACAAACTTCCACTAAACAACATATCATCAAAATGCACAACACCCATGTGAGCAGTGTGTTCACGAGAGATCTTAGGTGGTAGTCCTTTAGTTAATGAATCCGTTATCATGGAGTTTTTTCCAATATGTTCTATAGTAACCTGACCATTCGGAACTCTTTCTTCCACAACTAAGAATTTAATGTTTGTAAATTTAGACTTTGTTAAACTCCTATTATTATTTGAATACAAGAATGTTGACTTATTTTCACATAATAGTTTAAGCGGTCTTTCAATTCCATGTATAATTTGCATCACAGTCACAAAATTTCGCAGCCATATTCCTTGATTGAATGACTCGTAACATGCTACAAACTCCACGTTATAGTTGAAGAAACTATGAGTGTCTGTTTAGCACTCTTCCAAGATATAGCTTTTCTCTTCCAGCCAGCAGGAAGGCATAGCACAATATAGATCTCCTACTGTCTTTACATCCAGCAAAATTAGAATTAGAATAACCAATGATCTTCAATTGGTCTGATTTATTGTATGTGAGCATGTAATCTTTTGTTCTTTGTAAATACCGCATTCCAATGATCCATCCTAAATATCTGCCTAGCATTCCAACAATGAATGTTATATTCAGATGTGTGCATACCTGTGCATATATTAAACTCCCAACTATTGAAGTATAGAGAATTTCTACATCTCCTTTACTTCAAAGTCATTCTTAGGGCATTAATTGAGACTAAACATGTCTCCATTAGCAACAAGAATATCACCTGATTTGCAGTCATGTATCTCAAATCTCTTAAGTATCGTATTGATATAACTCTTTTGTAATAATCCAAAATTACCCCCAGGAACGGCCCTGATGTATCTGAATTCCTAATAAAAAAAAGTGTCACCAAAATCTTCCATCTCAAAATTCTTTGATAGAAATCTCTATTTTCGTACAATAAGCATATACATTGCGGCAAGCAGTACGTTACCGACATACAATACTAGGAAAACTTACTTACTCCCACTGAACATGGGTATACACAATCATCAATAACATTCGTCTCAAAATCAAATGAGATGATTATTTGATAAAATTTGGTAATACCATTGATAGAAAGTCTGCTTAAGCTTATAGATGGATTTCAAAAATTTGTAAATCATTTTCTTTGGGCCTCCTAATACAAAGTATTCCGATTGTACCATATATATCGTCTCAACAATGTCACCATTGAGAAATGTTGTCTTTATGTCCATTTGATGTATCTCAAGATCAAAATGTGTCACTATTGCCATTATAATCTTGAAAGAGTCTTTCGTTGAAATTGGAAAAAAAAAAGTCTCTTTGTAATCAAAGACTTCCCTTTGAGTAAAACCATTTGCAACAAAACGAGCATTATATCTTTCCACATTACCCTTCGAATCCCTCTTGATTTTAAATATCAATTTGCGACCAATGAGTTTCATACCTTCAGATACTATAAAGTCATCCGAAATTGTATTTCTCTTTTATCAAGTGGATCTCCTTAATGATATTTGTTTTTAAGGTTGTTGAGTTTGTTTTTCTGGAATAGCATCTTTATTGTTTATATAGGGGTTCTTGAATATTGTTTTGATCCAGAATTGCTTCTTGAACAAGTTCTGAAACAAAAAATTGTTCATAATCCCTATCATTGTTAATTGTAATAGGAGGGATATTTATATATTTCTTCTCAATGACAAAATTTCTAACCTTATCCCCGCCCACCCCCCAACTTCACATCTTCAAAGAACTGAGCATTTCCCATTTTGAAAATTGATTTGGTAGTGGGATCATAAAATTTGTAACCCTTGACCCCTCAGAATATCTAATAAAATAGGAACCGACAGTTTTGGAATCCAATTTCTTTTTCAATGGCCTATAAGGCATTGTCTCATCTAGACAACCCAAATGTGTAAGTGTTTTAAACTAAATTTTTTACTTGTTCAAAGTTTATAAGAGATTTTGATAGTTGATTTGCTTGAAACTCTATTGAGGATATAAGCTACAATTTTTAATGATTCTCCCCAGAGAGATTTTGGTAAGATGAAATGACTAATCATATTCCTTATCATATTCTTAAGTGTTATGTTTCGTCTTTCAGCAATACCATTCATGTTAGGAGAATCAGTATAGTGTATTGTAGAACGATTTCACATTCTTCTAGAGGTGTCAAGAAGGACGGGCTGGCCAGACCCTTGAAACCCGAGACCGCGGGCCGACCTGTGAGGGCAATTCACGGGCCAAAGAGGTGTAACCCGCCGGCTTCGCGGGTTTCACCCCCACAAGCCGCGGTTAACCCGCAACCCGTAAAAAAAAAAAAAAATAAATAAAAATTTAAATATGGTAACAATGAAAATATGTCATCTTCTCTAATCTCTAGTACAACTTTTAAAGGCAAATCTTCTTTTTTT